TTGATATTATTCTATTGCCAAGCCCATTTTTCTTCTTATGTGATAGCATTGATGAAACTTGGGATGGTTTTTACAAAACTCTGGGCCGGTGAAGCACCTCTCAGACGTGATGGCGACTCCCTCCAGGAAATCGTGTCGTCCAGTCTCGTTGAGGCGCTCCTGCAGGATCTGGATGCCCTCCTTGACGTCACGCAGCTGCTGACTGTAGCGCTGGATCTTGTGCTCAATGTCGGAGAGCTTGCGGGCTGTGTCCATCTCCAGCTCCTCCAGCATGCTCTTCTGACGCTCGCGCAGGAAGCGGTGGAGGCGTTCGAAAGCATCGCCAATGGTTGCACGCAGACTCTTGGCTGACGACTGAAAAAGAGATGCAAAGGTAGGTTTACTGGGTTAACTGCCATAACAGGGTTGAGAGATAACTATAGTTAGAAGGCTGTTTTGAGTATTTCTGTCACAATAGTCTGACTCTTAATAACACAATGGTTAGTAATTCAAGAGCTTACAAAGTGGTGTAAATTGTGTTAATATCATATTAACATTCATTAAATGATTCAGCTCGTACATGTATTGATTTCAAGTGGCTCTCAGTGAAAGTACAACCTTAAGCACAGGAAATAAAGAAGATCTGACTCTGTTACAGTGGGGGGACACAAACAAGAGCGTACTGCAACAGATATAATCCAAAGAGATGGTCAAAGGAAGGGGTTGCAAAGGATGTCCTGTCTGTGAGGCTGAGTGATAACGGGACCAGTAGCCAGGCAGAAAAGCTGAAGCCATTACATGCTTTTTACAAGGGACAGCAGACTGGGAGCTAAAGAGCCCAAGAAACTGATTTGTAGTTGAAGAAGATGAATGGGAAGTTGGACATGAAAGAATGTATCATCTGAGTGTTAGCGAGCTGAGTGACTGAGAGACAGCACAAAGGGATGTGATGTGAAAACCCTGTAAACATTGTGCAGAGAAGAGCAGGAGCCTTTTGATTCGAGGCTACTGAGGAAAGCAAACACTGGATTGCATTCAGACATTCATTTCCCTCTCTGTCGCGTTTTTATACAAATTCAAAACCAAACCAAAGATCTGCTCATCAAAGAGCAACTGAGGAAATTAATGACTGAATCACAATGACCTAAAAAAAAAAAGAAATTCAGAAGAATCTTGTGTGTATGAACCTTCGATTAATTAATCCTGATGATATTACCTGATGGGAATTTCAACACCTTCTCTGATCCTTTCAGGAGGAGTTGGATTCAGCGAACTTTGATCTCATGTTTAATTACATGTCCACTAAAAATTCAATCAATCTCTTTGAAGCAGCAGACATTTCTCTCCTGTTCTCCCAGAGACGGGGGCAGGCATTCTCACTCTGTATGTGGGAACCTATTCACATAACTATTTCTCCGCAAGCCTGAGAACTATGACATTCAGGTGGGCTACATCCCGGCACTCCTGCCATGTTAAAGAGCTGAATCCTAGACGAAAGGGAGGAGGAGGAAAATGAGGAAGTCTGCAGCAGCCTTGCTATCAGTCTCAGTGACGTGTCTGCAGCTTTTGCCCAGCAGGCTGTGATGGCACTGAGAGGGAGTCTGCAGCCCTTGGAGACAGGACGCCAGCTACCCTTCAGGGAGAGCAAATCCCCTGTGGGCATGTGAATAGAGCACAATGTCAATGCTTCACATGGAGATCCTCCCAGGCATACAGAAGCCCAGCACTCAAACTGGAGTGAAAGGAAGGCACATTTAGTTAAAATGGGAGCCGGGCTGCTGCAGTGCTTCCTTCTCAATCTTAGTACAAGAAGTGAGGTCCAGCTCACGCAAACATTAATGGAGATGTCCACAGATTTAAGCCTAGTTCACACTACATGGCTTTTTAGCCCAGTTTTCCAGTCATCGACGAGTTTTGGAAGTGACTGACCAAAGCCCCAGATCAGAACCAAATCAGTGTTTGATTCGCCAATAGCTGTGTAAACTTTTCAAAGACGCGACAAGAGGGGCTCGCCGACAAGTTGCAGAATTTGACTAGATTTCTAGCAGGCTAAACATTTAGCAGGGAGGCAAGTCATACAGTGTGAACTGAGCAGCGATTAGACCACTTTGAAGGTTGGATAGTGTGATCTTGGTGTTTGTGAAGAAAGATAAACAATAAGGTAAAAATTAAGAAAAATAACTTCGCAGAAATCACTTGCAATCGCAAATATAGCAGGATGAAGAAGAAATGCAGGGAGACATTTCATTATCAGCTGCCTAAATGCATCAGAGATTAATGTTGTCACAGTGTCTCTCTTCCAGGGAGAGCACTTTGTGCAAATGGAAATAAATCTAATGAGAACAGCTCATTTCTAATTAGAAGCAGAGGGCGGCTGAGAGGCCTGCATATAGCAGTCAGATTGAGTGTGGCAGCAGAGGGTCCCGCAGTGCAGATTTCAGACAGAAAGACGAGTGATGCCATGACAGCAGGTATGAAAAGGAAAATGCAGGAGCGTGCTCCCTCCATGAGAAACAACCCTGATGGCTGCGACATTGTCTCTGCCAAACACCCTGACCTGGTTATTAGCTTCAAAGTCACAGGAAGCAGGAGAGAAATTTGTGACTACGTTTTCTTTTGAAACCATCATTGTGAGGCCATTTAGGCCCACCCTGCCAAATTCAGTGGGCATTTTCAATTTCAGGTTCAAGTTAAAATTAAGATTAGGTTATGCTTGAGTTAAAATGTGGCACAGAGTGAGAGTTACAAGAGGGGTAAGTATAAAAACTTTGAAATGGTAACTTTTTAAAACCATATTCAGCTTAAGGAAATCTAAACCAAAAAAACATGCTTATGTTTTGGGCATTTTTTTCTGATGGAAGCGTTACTATACAAGTTAAGGTACTAGAGAATGCAGTATTTCAATGAATGTTCTCACAAATGCAGGAAAATGTGTGAGTGTGAGTGTG